ATCCCCATTAGGTTGTCCCTAATTTAAATCACATCTAACAGAGCATCAAATGCTAGGAAGTCCTGGCCCAAATTTATAAGTCAAAAATACGTTCCTAGATCACACTTCCTTTGAAGCGAAAAAGAAGCATTAATGGTTTTTCCCCCACCAGTTACATACCTCCCTGAAATGTGTGACAAATATAATCCCCAAAAGAGATCTCTTTCCACAGTCCAGGCCTTCTGACACTTCCTTCACCAGCTAGCTGAAGCATTCTGATGGCTTGCCTTAGAGTTCTTGTGTCTTTATGTAAGGCCACTGATGCCTAGCGTTTTCCAAGCTGTCTAGCGCATTGAAATCACAAAGCATGTCTATTTTGAAAGAGAATCCTGGACGCAAATTGAAACAGACACCAACTAAAGCATGATGCAATCCAGGAACCCCCGGGAACACTAAAAATACATACAGCAACTCTGGACAGTGTTTATGAATAAAGACTGCTCCTCCTCTGTGAAGGGGCAGTCCCAGCAATGAGGACCTATCTGCTTCAGTTACTTTGGCGCGATGGCACCGCAATTAAGGCGAATTGTTTCTGGAAAGGGATGGAGACTGGCCTCTACAAAGCATGAGATGTTTTAGGTTTTAACCAAATCGTAGCAATTTCATAGTGGGAGGAAACCTCCATTTTTGGTGCTTTCTGTGGAGCCACTAGTGTACAAATGGGTTTAACGAAGTTTTCCTGGGACAAATGGCCCATCAGTTCCCTTTGCAAAGGATGCTACAATAGGCATACATACAGCATGCCATACTGATTGCTTTTCAAGCAAATTAATAGGTCATTTCATTTCCCAAGGAAAACCAGTCTTATTACAATGCCCTTTCTTGTTAGTTTGACTCAAAGTGCTGCAGAAAAATAAAGTTATATAAGAATTCTTTTGGTTAGTAGAAAGTCTCTTGAGATAGCCTTTAGAACCAACTATTCTGTTTACTTAGATACTAACTGTGACCAGACCCATCAATTTTCAAGAAAATCAAGCTGCAGATCCTTCAGCAATTGGTACAGACGTCAGTTGCTACTTCAAGTGACAGGGTACACGTTAATCTATGCACTCAGCACAAAAGTACAAGGAAAGCTTACCTTCTAGAAACACTCTTCATCTGAATTTTCAAGGAGGAATTTTGGAGGTGTTGGGAATAAATTGAAGGATTTCTTTTACCTGACAGTCCACCATAGATCTCTTCTGCTACCCTAGCTGCCTCTTTTCTGTTTCCTTTGGCGACATAGAAATGGGTTAGGAGAGCCAAGAAAACTTTAATTAAAAGCTTGAAGAAAAAAAAAATGTGGCAAACATGGTCAGAAAAATGTTTTTAAAGTCATAGAAAGCAGGACCATCTTCCATGTTGGCTTCTTCTCGGCATAGGTTCCGAGGGCTACAAATTTTTACCGAGTTATAATTGGCATCATATGACTTCTATTTTTAAGCCTCCTAGCACTCGGTGCTCCTGTTACCAAGAACTGTTTGTAGGTTCTAATCTAACACTGATGTGGAGAGTTAGATTAACACTGGGTATGTTGATATTTATGGCAATGTTAAACAACTTCCTTCTAATAAGAAACACTCAGTACTGGCCTGGAAGGATGGATGGATTCGACTCCCAGCACATGGCCATTCCAGACCATCTGTAACTCCAGTGGTCTCTTCTGGCCTCTGTAGGTATGAGACATGGAGGCAAAGCACCCACACATATAAGATAAATAATAAAAAGAACGTTAAAAACACTTGGTGTTCACACCCAACATTGACTTTGATCAAAACACATTGGATGCATGTATAGAAGTCTCAAACAAGAAAAAAAAAATAAGGAATTCCTATCCTAACTGCACTTTAATGTTCCTTCTAAACTTTTAGTTTTGGTATAGTAGGATGGAAAATGGGATTGGAAAAATAAAAGGAACTTCTACATTGCTACAGTAACAAAGCAACACAAGAAAGTGGGAATACACTGTATTCATCATAGAAAATACGTAGGGGTTCTTCACTTGCTTTTCATGTAGTGGTTTACAAAAGATTAAGTCCCAATCTAAACGATGACTAGTCAAAAAAAACTCTTGGTGGTAAGGTAATAGTAAATACAAGGCCTATCTTACATGTTTCTACAGATGAAAGTTGGGAGTGTGACTGGACTGCTGAGACGATTCTGGTGACAGTCCTGACACCTGTGACAAGGTACCCCAGCAAGGTCCTTCTCGCTTGTTCACTTGTTTGAAGCTTCAGAGAGGATGGCCACTCCTCCTGGAGGATGTGACCCATTCTCAATCTTGGAAGTGTGATACCAAAATGGATGAATGCCATGCCCTAGCTTCCAGATGAAGATTCCATGAATCAGTACCTTCCTTAGCTGGGCAGGGTTTTCATAGCAGCTGGCCGATACAAGTAAAACTCATTTGTGTTTAGTTTCCCTCACTAATAAGTTTCTTCTTTTATTCTTGTTTCTATGAGTTTTTTTAATAAATTTCTAAAATCTACTGAAAGTGCAAGTGCATTAATCAGGGATTTCTAGAGGAAGAGACCTTATAAAACAAATACACACGCGCGCGCGAGAGAGAAACAGAAGGATTTATTAGAACGACTTACAGACTGTGGTCCAGCTAGTCCAACAATGGCTATCTACCAATGGAAGGTCCAAGAATCCAGTGGTTGTTCATCTGACAAGGTTGGATGTCTCAGCTGGTCTTCAGTAAATACAGGAATCCTGAAGAAGTCGGCTCCAAAGCCAGTGAAAGAATGAACTTGCCAGCAGGAGGGAGGGCAAGCAGGCCAAGAGCAAGCTCCCTTCTTCCATGCCCATTACACAGGCTGCCAGTAGAAGGTGTGGCCCACATCTCAAAGATCCGGATTAGAAGTGGGTTTTCCCACTTTAGATGATTTAAGAAAAAATAATCCCTCACAGATAGGCCCAGCCATTTGTGTTTTAGTTAATTCCAGATGGATTCCAGCTGAAAACCAAGGGCAGCCCTCACAGAAAGCAAAAGTACAATTTTAAGAGCAGAGTGACTTTAAAAGAAATATTTTATATATGTGAATATTTTGCCTATATGTATATATGTGCACCACATGAGTGCCTGGTATGTGTTGAAAGTCAGAAATGAGTGTTGAATCCTCCAACTGATGTCTGCAAGGATATCTTACCCCCTAAGCCATCTCTCCAGCCCCAAGAGCACTTTTTAAATAAATGCTTTGTGTCAAAAAATATGACTTTCTCCAGCAAATTGGAATAACTATCTCTATAGGAACTGATTTAGTAAACTTTTCTTTTTTGAGATGGGGTTTCTCTGTGTAACAATTCTGGACTAGGCTGGTAGAGACCCTCTGCCTCTTGAATAAAAGGGATAAAAGGCATGCACCACCATGCCCAGCTTAAGGTCTGCAAATCTTTTTAAAGGCATCTTCTGGGGGACAATACTTACTTTCCACCTCCCAGCTGTATTTATCAAAGAATCCATAACATAATAAAATATTTTACTCTCGTTTTTTTTTTAAATGGGGATGCTTGTGGAATGACACTAGACATTGTCAACCTCTACACATACATGCACACAAAGATTCACTTGCACCTGCCCATCCCCAATCCAGCCACAGGATAATCTCATTTTAGATCAAGCCACCTTGGAGCCGGAGAGATGGCTCAAGAGTTAAGAGCACTGGCTGTTTCCAGGTTCTGGCTATTACAAACAATGCTGCCATGAACATAGTTGAGCATATACTTTTGTTGTATGATAGGGCCTCTCTTGGGTATATTCCCAAGAGTGGTATTGCTGGATCCAGGGGTAGGTTGATCCCGAATTTCCTGAGAAACCGAAACACTGCTTTCCAGAGTGGTTGCACAAGTTTGCATTCCCACCAGCAATGGGTGAGTGTACCCCTTTCTCCACAACCTCTCCAGCAAAGGCTATCATTGATCGGGGGAGGGGGAGGGAAATGGGAAGCGGTTGTGGGGACGAGGCAGAAATTCTTAATAAATAAATAAATTAAAATAAAAAAAAAAAAAAAAAAAAAAAAAAAAAAGAGCACTGGCTGCTCTTACAGAGAACCTTGGTGTGGGAAGTCCTTCTGTATATGCTTTGTTTATATTGGTTACTGAATAAAGAATCTGCCTTGGCCGGTGATATGGCAGCATAGAGCTGGTGGGGGGGAACTAAACTGAATGCTGAGAGAAAGAAGGTGGAGTCAAGAGAAGCCATATAGACCAGCCAGAGACAGACGCCTGACAAAACCTTGCTGGTAAGTCACAGCCATGTGGCGCTACACAGATTAATAGAAATGAGTTAAATTAAGATATAAGAGCTAGCCAATAAGAATCTAGAGCTAATAGGCCAAGCAGTGGTTTAATTCATATAGGTTCTATGTGGTTATTCTGGGGCTCATAACCATTTACAACTCCAGTTCCAGGAGATCAAACACCTTCTGGCCTCCATGGGCACCATATATGTAAATGTTGCACAGATATACAAACAGACAAAACACACACACACACAAACACAAATTTTAAAATTAAAAAAAAAACTTTAAAAGATCAAGCCACCTTCCTTTGTGAGACAAATCTAAGCATAAATGAAAATAATTGCTTACCACTACTTATCGTTGGGGAACAATAAGCTCTTTAAATAAAGTCAAATTCAAATTTCTCTTAAAACAGCTGGCAACATACAAAGTATAATTACGTAGTTCACACACAATAGTGTGTGGATGTATTCATTTGCCTTCTGTGATAACTGACAGTGAAAAACAAGGGCTTATTGGAATCAGGAAACAAAGGTACAATTGAACTTGCTATTTCAAGAATACAAAAGAGCACATATTCTAGAAATAAAAGATGACAGAGTGGTGCATCAGACAAAGGACACTTCCTGTTTTTCTAAGAGACCAAGCAACACATTAGCTCTACTTAGAAAACGGGAGGAGAGGGTGTTTCCATAAATAACATCCTGGTCGCAAAATAAGACAAACTGAAAAAACTACTAAAAAATCATTCTTGTCTTTATTATTGGATATGAGCATGTTTTAATAGATGGGTTTTATGTGTGTGGCTGCAACATCAAAATAATACAGCGTCTTTTCAACAAATTCCTCATCCACGTTGATTTCCTTGATCAATAATTGTGAGCAGCAGTGTGGAACAGAGTTTCCACGCTGAGTAGTGCAACACTGATCGTTACAATTAATGTATCCAGGAAGCCTGAAAGTCATTTCGGGCAGACAAATAAGTTTATTTCCACTTGTTCAAAAAAAAAAAAGGAAAACAATTTTAACTCATAAATTACATATTTACGTACAAGAACAAATTAATTTTCAATTCTATTTTTATCTTAAATAAAGAACAATCAAAGCATTCAATGATAATTTTGGCAAAAACTAGAAGCAAACACAAAAGAAGAAATAGTAGTATAGAATAAATAAAGCCAAGCGTTAACATGTCTCAGGCTACCATGAATACTGGCCCTGTTTACTCTCTGTACACCTGTCTCAATGCATCGTAATTTGAGTAAGACTCAACAGTTTGGACCAGGTCAATTTATCTCCAATAAAAGAAGCCCTGCCCTAACTTCCGCATTTTAAAAAGTACTCTCTAGCATTTGTGTTTTCATATAAACAAAACACAAATATATCTCTTTTATATTCATGGCAACCAGGTAATAGGCATGTTAAGATACTCATTAAAAAGGTTTACAAATGTCATTAAAAAAATCCTGTACAGAATCACAATACTGACAGAATCGAATGCCCACAAGCGCCTTGCTGCTTTTTATTTCATCCTTTTCCCACAAAAACCCATGCAAAAGGCTTAATAATACATATCATAGGTAATTTGGGAGTCAACAACCCATGGCTCTAGATGGCCATGACTATGACTGAGAAATTCCACCCACAAAGGGATTGTGTTCTCTGATACCTTGCAGATTTGATACTCTATAAATAAACCATTCTGGAGGAAAACCTCTCTGTACCCTGGCAACACTTATCAGAAATCAGTTAGGCCATAGCGACGGGGAGGGACTTCTATACAGAAGACAGGATAGCAGCTGGTTTTGAGATGGTACACCTCTTCTGTTCTACTCAGAAACCACAAAGGTGTTTCCGGGGACTTAACTGGGCACTACAAAAGCAGAGGATGGGCCTGTACTAGGGTCAACAGTGGTATCGGTCTGTAGAACTTAAAAAATCAACATTTCTTCACATGCACACACATGCATACACACATGCACAAATACACACACACACAGGCACACACGCACACACACACGCACGCAGACAAGGACTCTTCCTAAGAGAATGCATAAAACCGGTTCAGAGAGGTACTTGGAGCACACCAGGGATGATCTCCTGACGTTCGGTAGCTTGAGCATTTGGCATGTTTGCTGTTTCACCACTTCGGGTTCACTAGTCCTTAGTCTCAGCAACCAATCAGTGGTCTTGCTCAAGAAATCAGATTACATGTAACCCTTGAGTGGACCACGTAGCTGTCTAAGAACATGATTTCAATGCTCAATGAAGGTTACATGAACTGGACTGAAAACAGTTCACACAACTGTTGTACCTCCCTAAAGAAAGCTTGTAAACATCTGGTAACGGAGAATTAATGGGATAGTGTTTAAAATTGGCCAAAAAAGATCCAGAAACGTTTGGCCTTTCAGCACCCAAGGCTCCCAAAATATAATATTAAAACATCTCTGCTAGAGGGATCTCAGTCGTCTGAAAAACATCAGGCCTGAGTGGTTAGACCATTCTCCCCTAAAATCTTAAGAAGTGCAAGGAGTTTCCACACTCAGGAATTGCATAAGTTTTACCTTTCTTCAGAAAACAAAAATGGTGAATGATACAGAGGTAGCATAATTTACTAAACCAACTCTGAAGCCCAAACACAAAAGAGCAAGGTAATGTTCAAATGCTAACAGGAGAATTGCAAGAGGCTAAGACTTGTGGACTTGGGCCTGCTTGTACCTGCTTTTGGACACCTTATCATTCTCATCTCCTTTCTTATCACAAGGACATTGATACATCCAGGCTCCCCTTGGCCCAGTAGCATCTACGGCAACATCAACGATAGAATCTGGAGTCATCCACTGCAGGAAAATGAGGAAGAGATAGCTGAACACCGCCAGCAAAGCAAAAATGTAGCCTGTCACTGGGCCACAATGAGAGATGAGCCTGTTCAATCTCTTGTGCATTGGCAACACAGTTTCCTTCGACACACGCTCGTACACCTAGAAGAGAGAAGGTGACAATGAGCACTCTGAGCCACCACATGCCTGTAACAAAGGGTGATCCATGACCCACAATGACCAGGAGCATCTGGCAAGCACATGTTGAGAGAATCTCCCATGTTTGCTGTCACTTTGCACTGTGCTTACCACCGACTTAATTCTGGGCTAAACACAGAGTAGCACAGAGAGCAGTCAGCTGACTCCAGAATACCACAAGTCCTATAAGGTTAGAAGATGGTTTCAGCAGGCAAGCATACTTGAGTTGGGCCAATGCCTCAACAGGGTGAAGAAAGCGCTCACAAACGCCTAGCAGGCAGCACACACAATCACAGAACGTACTGAGGATGGATGGAGACACTACAGGGAAAGGGCTTCTACACTGCAAGTAAAGCAGGGAGGAGACAGGGTAGATGCTGAGCTGCAGAGTCAGTAAAAACAACGCTAAGGAGAACCAAGAGGACTGTGCTAAGAACTGGGGGTTGGTGCTTTCTCTGTAAAACGCTGCTCATCCCGCATCCTGAAAACCTTAGACGTGCAAACTTGTCTCCCTGGAAACTGGAGAAAGTCACAATGGGTGGCCTTCGAAGGCATGAGGCCTGTGTCTAGCTCTTCTACCCCGGGGACAATTTAAATACAAACACTTTAATCAGAATGATGTTGAGAGACTGAGGCCAATGGATTGTAACTAAAAAATAAAAGTAAAAATGTTCCTTATTAGCAGGAACTCTAACTTCATTTGGAGACAGGGTTTCGTGCAGCACAGACTGGCCTCAAATTCCATAGGTAGCTGAGGATAGTCCTGAAGTGCTCGTTTTGTTACTACCTCCAGAATGCTGGGCTCAGAGGTGTCTACCACCATGCCCAACTTTCCAAATTACTTTTCAATCAGTGTTCTAAGCAACCCAGTCAAATTAAAAGGAGTCGAAAAGGATCAAAATGTCTGTGAGGTAAAAGACAGAATAACTTTTTTGTCCATCTTCACTTGAGGTCAATTCATTTATTATCCTAAGTAATAAACAATTTACGACTATGAAGAGAACATAACTATTTTAAATAAGGATTTACTTTTTTCTGTTTATCTGTCTTTTTGAGATAGTATAGCAAAGAACTATCCTGGAACTCACTGTTCCGCCAGGTTGGCCTGAACTCATGGTCATCCTCCTGCCTCAGACTCCCAAGTGTAAATCACCATGCCGGACTGGACTTTTTTTCTTTTTTGCCCCCTTTTCTTTTTTATGAATATTTTTGTGGCACAAATTAGCAGAAATATAAAAGAAAAACATATAGGATGCTTTACTATTATCTCAAAGCAAAACTGTAAGAAAAAATACCATTACAAAAATGCTGGTTAGCACCTTTAACACTGGCTGATAAATCACCATTGCAATTCTTCCCTGAGTTGGCTTACTCAGCTCAGACTTTGGAGGTTTGCATGATGACAAAGTCAAATCACAATTTACAGAGCTATGATTTCAAATCAGGGTGGAGTCAAGATCACCAAAAAAACCTGTCTGGCCAAAGAGTCCTGCCAACCATAATCCAAACTGCATTTCTGTTCCACAAGGAACAAGTCAGAATTTAAGGCGTGGTTGGGGCGGTAAGCGGATGCAAGAATGAGTACGCAGTCTGAAGAAGCTGTCCACATGATTCTGACATGCACCCCCACGGGCAACTGGCACTCAGTCCAACTTCCAGAAAAAAAGGTACTTATTTCACTAAGTTGATATACCTCTTCAGTAAAAGTTATGTCTGTTTCCAACACCTTTTATATCAATGAAACATATAGTATATGTCTACTTTTAGAGATAGATCTCATAAACGAGAACTTGTATCTCAAACCAAGAAAGATTCTCCAGGCTGGACATCTACTGCTCCCTGTATTTAACACCCAAAGCATAAATCCCCGACTCTAAACTGCAACCCTCACCATGCTCCTCAACTCTCTTTCTGGTACAGGATTTACTGGTTTGCTTTTTTTCTTTTCTTTTCTTTTCTTTTAAGAAAGGGTTTCTCTGTGTAGTCTTGGCTTTCCTAGATCTAGGTCTGTAGATCAGACTGGCTTCATACTCACAGAGAGTCACCTGCCTAAGTCTCCCAAGTACTGAGACTGGGGACATGCACCAACACCGCCCGCCTGGTACAGGATCTCTATATACGAAGAAAGCAAGTTGTTTTCCTCAGCTTGGCAAGCGGTAACATGAGCAATGAGGCAGAAATAAACACAAGGGGAACCGAGCAGAATAAATACCACAGCATTTCCCACAATTGTCCTTTTGAAGGATCTGTCAATCCGGCATGTGTCTTTTTGGAAAGTCCCTGTGGCTCTTTTCTTATTGGTGACTATTTGTCCTTAATTTCACATATATTTTGAATTCTAATATAGTATCAATTGACCTAAATTTTTGATACTCCTTTGTGGCCTCGGTGTATCAGTCATCAGGAGAAGAATTCCAAGAGCTCTGGGAAGTATTCTGACTCGACATTCATAATTTAGAGCAGACACTGCCATCACCTACCCATTTGCTAGCAATAGGCCCTATGCGCTGCAGAATTAGAAACATCCCCAACACAAAGATGCCACTTCTTTTTCTGCTTCTGACTGCTGGAACTTCTAGAAACTTTTGTGACTTCTTTAGGGGGTTTAATGAAACTAGACTGTGTTGTTCCTATTGTCAGAGGCCGGGGCAGTGATTTCTGTAGAAAATCAGCCAAGCGTATGCACCAAACCTGATGCAGAAATAATTACTTCTTTCCTTTTGGAAGGGCTCATGCTCTTAAACCAAAACTCAAGGGGCAAGCCTGTTCACGAGAGAAAGCAAAGGTGCATGCAAACACGGAGGAACTCGCAAATCTTTTACCGACACGTGACCCACCTTCTCAGTTCGCTCTGCCACATTCCTCCAGGTGTAGAAAGCCTTTACTACATTGTGGATATTTTCTGGAGTTGGCAACGTTCCCGACTTCACTTGGAAAATAGCTTTTTCCAGGCCTTCACACAGAGATTTTACTGAAGGCTCACATAAAATAATAAGGTTTTCCGGAAGGACTTCAGGAATGCCACCAACCTTCGTGCTGACAACCTTGAAAAGACCAGAGAGAGCATGTGATGCACTGGGACCATTTCTCAGGAAAAGCGAAAGATCAAGCTAAACGATATTAATTTGGCATGTACTGCAAATACCGAATCCCACGAATCCCACAAGAGAAGCCCTTAGAATGTTTTACCTGCAGACCACAACTGGCGGCTTCCACGATTGCCATGCAGAATGCTTCAGTGAGGGAGGTGTTAAGAAAAATATGTCCTTGAACTAAGACATTTCTAAATTCCTTGTGTTCTAAAGCGCCCAAAAGTTGCACCCTAATTTTTGTAATGAGAGGAAGAAAAGGAAAGGTGTAAAAAAAATTTAAAAGTCATGACACAAAAGAAATTTAATTTCTAAGCCAAGCTTGTCATTTGTATTACTCTTATTGATACTAATGCTTCCTACCTCAAAAGATATGGCCAAACCCCAACATAATAGAAACAACTCTAGAAACCTGTTGGGTTACAGCTCATACAATGCAATTTCATCTTTTCCAAAACTAGTTTGTGTTTAATGAATATTATATTAATTTTTTTAAGACAGGATCTTACTATGTAGGTCTGGATGTCCTGGAACTCACTCCACAGACCAGGCTAGTCAAACTCACAGAGATCCGCCTGCCTCTGCCTCTTCCACCCAAGTACTGGGATTAAAGGCATGAACCACTACACCTAGCTAATGAACAAATTAATAACAGAATCATAATTAAATGTTTAAAAGTGTCATTTCTAAGTGGGGAAAAACCTTTTAAAAATCAGCACTTCATATAACATGCATTGTGTGTTAAAGAAATTATGGAGGAAAAGATATGTTCAAACTTGTATGTGTACAGCAATTTACATGACTAGATCATGACGCGTAAATCATAACTTAAGATGGCTTGGAAACCTGCAACCATTTCCAGCCAAGGTTCTCCCCCAACCCCGTGCCTCCAACTCCTGAACCCAAGTCAATATTCAGCTAAGGGACAAAAGCTGTGTATTCTGTAAGCTTTCTTATTTGGTAGAAATTCACACTAGAAACTAACATGCCTTCTATTTGCATGTCCCTTCTAAAGAGAAGCAGGAGCACAGATAAGTCAGGAGTGTGGTCAAAAGCAAACATGAACAACTGTCATTTTCACACCACAATGCCTTGGAAGCCGTTAATACCTGTCATGTAGTTGGTATCTTTCCCGTACTTCTTCCAAAATGATTCTCTTTGGCCCCTCTCCTCCAATTAGGAAATTTAATTCTTGGTATTTCTGACAGAGTTCAGGGATTATACCACTAAGCAAATCAGTCCCTGAAATCATAAAGTTAAATATCGGAAATATTAATATTTAACACTTAAAAAACTCACCAGAGTCCCTGAGAATCTACTCGTCTTAAGAATCAACTATAGCTAGCCTCCTTAAAATAGACATACCAAGCCTCTTAACCCCTTCTCAGAAGCGGAGAGTCGTCAACCAACTGCCATTGGTTCCCAAGAGTTACAACACCCGAAGATACAGGTACGGACATGCGTTGCTACTGCTACATACCCAAATCATGAGCAATCCTGTTTCAACTTTGTAGTCTTTAAGACATTCACTTGTCCATACTGCCTACTTGGAAATGGCAATGAAGATAGCTAACATTTGTTAGCTTTCTCCAGAGCACACAGCTGACTAGAAATCTAGGTCTCGCTCCAGCTTTAGTTTTTAAAACCCGTCCACCCTATCATGCCCTAGTAGATGCAGAAACATATCTCTAAAGTCCAAAGTCTCCAGCTATAAAAGTCAACAGGTCTATGACTCCACTTCTTGCAGCAGGAAAGGGCTAAGCAATCACCTTAGCTACTGCTTTCACTCTGTTGAGACTGCAGTTTATACAGGGAATTTCAGAATGAACACCTGGGAATGCAGGTGGCAGGACCTCGGCTGGAAGATCATTATAGTTCAGAGACCTAAGGCTATAGCTTCCTTTTGCTTTCAAAAAAGAAATGGTTTTCATCTAATATGTAAGCATAATCTCAGGAGATATAAAGCAATAGAATAAGGCACAGCCTACAGGTATAAAGAGTAGCTAGCTAAAGCCACAGTAAAGCTGACACTACTTGGGAACTTGGTTCATCGACAATTACCAACCATACGTTCAAAAGTAAACATGAAATAATCTATTGAGCCGAGTTTATTCAATTAAAAAAATGCATACACATAAATTTGCATATGCACACAAAGTCCATTTTTCCCATCAATCTTCCTCAAAATAGACAGACCAATTATAACGCACGATGGGAAAATACAGGTCGCATGTCTTTTCTTCATAGATTACAAACCCACACCTTCTTTCATATTGCATGAATTATGTGGATAATGATGAATCCCTATGGATTCTCATCCAGTGTTCTTTTGATCCAACTAAAAGGAACAATCAGATGGCGAGTGTGGTTTGTCATTGCCCAGTCACGTTACCCTGGCAAACACTCGGGTACTTCACCACTACACGTACAGTCTCAATTTGCACCCTCAGAATGGCCGTCCCCGCATTCATTAGGGATCCAAAGAAGTGAATTTCAAAAGACAAAGGAAATCCCTTTAGTCTTTACTTTGAGATACTGAACATAGAGATAAAAAATATTCGCTCCACGTATCTGACTTCTTTGGGGACATTTTCTGCTCTAAGCTTCAACCTGACAAGATAAACCATAACAAAATCATTTCTCCCACAGATTCTTTCCTTCGTAAGAAATTTTGCTTTGGCTATTGTGAGGTTTTGAAGTTGCCCGTGTCTCTGGAAGCTGCTCAAAATTTAGCCACTTTGTGCAATCACCAACGGGTTTTTCAAAATGACTATGTACACCAAAAATCAATTGAGTTGTAGGGTTCCTGAATGATGAAAGCTTACCATTAGCCATCCTCGTTTCCAGTCTACACACATCAACTGAATTGCTGGAGAGCCAGGAAATGCCTTAGAACCACTTAACATTTAGCTTCCTACACTTTCTCCTTTTCCTGCCTTTGAAAGAAAATATTAAGTGCCCATTCTTCATACAAAAAAGAAGGGAGCAATCATCACAGCTGTAGACAATGGCGACATTTACTGAACTGGCTATATTCACAATCTACTTCAAATGTACAGGGTCATTTAAACCTGATTTTAAAAAAAAAAACTTATACGCAACGGAGTCAGTCAGCACGATCAATGCTGTGTTATAGTACTCCAGGAATAAAGCAGGTTTTCCCCTCCTCACTATAAAACAAACAACCAAAAAGCAACAAGCTTCCTCTGGCTAGATTCTAAGATGACTTTAACACAAACCACACACACAAAATGACCACCAATCACCACATTTACACAAAATAGACCAAAAAACCCCTCTGATTCCAACTGACTTTAAAGCACAGTCCAACCATGTTTTAAGAACGTTCAGATCTGATCCAGGGTAACACTGGCCAGACCTTGACTCAAGAGCTGGACACATTTGTGATCTGTTACTTACTGTGTAACCTTGGGTGAGTTACTTACCCTCTCTGAGAACTGATTTTTTGTCTGTTACGTGCAGGTAAGATCTACCCTACAGTTGTTGGGGCAAGTGGGGTACTGTGCCATGCACAGGCTATCGACTGCAGAATACAAATGTTGTCTTTACCACTGCAGCAAGCAGCTGGAGGTGCCTGCACACACAGAGAACGGTGGGAAACCCTGACTAGATAGAAGAAGGTTCAGAAGCCAGCCTTTTCTCTACAAAAGCTAGGCAAGGACAACATGGCTTTATCCTCTTAATCTACTTCAATGGGCCTTAGAAATCTGGTCCACCCTAATTACAGTATTAGGAAGGAATGGATCATATCATAACTCTCACATGTGAGCTATGGACATGGCCTTTGCTCTTCACGTTACATTCTGCAGGCGCCTGGCCTATGGTGACAGTTCAGTATATCTGTTGAACTACTGAATTGAAAACAGGAACGACCATATTTTGACTCCATTCTTGCTAGTTCTGATGGTTAAACTACCACATTCACGAGATAAAGTAACATGTTTAACCTTTGTATGAGTAGCTGTAGAGATCTTCAATCACACAAACCGTCATACTTTCTCATCTATCTCAGCAAGGTAAGCTATCTGATTAAAAAAAATGGGGCAAAGTTTTAAAGTTATAATATATACATCACCAGTATCCCACAAAGGGTATAGAATACAGAATTCCACTCACATCATCTTGATTAAACAGCAAGACATGATTTCCTTTATCCCAGAGAATGTAACTGAGACCAAGTTTTCTAACTTAAGGGCGTTGTTCAGAAGTATGACAATCATCACCTATACCGACCACTGCCAGCTCCCAAATACACTGCTACATGACAGAGCATAGGCTGTTGGCATTTCTCCACAGATTCATCTTGTACCCATTTACCTTATGACTGTGTTGAATAATCTAAGTATCTATCACATAAGCTGACAAGTTTCTAAAAAGGCTCAATAGTTTGAAGGAGCCAAATAAATGAATGCCCCCCCCAAAAAAAAAACAGTCCTTGTCAGATGAGAGGTGACCTAAACTGGAGAGTAAAACTGAAAAAAAAAGTTTTTAATCCAGCCCATGGTTTCAAACATTCTAGTCCCCTCCTTTAAAGGAAACCCCGAATAGCAATGGTTGGCTCTGTGAAAGCACCCCTGCAAGACAGCGCGGCAGGATGCAGTGAGCTCATCCTCCAGTCCTAGAGCTCTCAAAGCTCCCTACAATTCGGCCATGTGTAAACGTTTCAAATTCAAATAGTTAAGGGGAGCAGGTAGCATTTGTTACTGACTTCCCGCCCCGCAAACCTTCAATGGTATTTCTGACTATCGGACAGCTTTTCACATAGCACCAGGAGACCAGTTCCATGTTAATAAGCAGGTGGCTTCATATGTGTAATAAAGACGAATGCTACATGGGACCATTAGTGCCACAGAAACTGAAAAACCAGCAGCAAGAACACAATACTCGGGAGAGATAACAGAAGTTGGAAGTGGAGGATAATCTAGGCAAAGATCTTTATAAGAGTTATCTCTGATCCATCACTAAGTTCCTGTTGTGACCCAAACAAATAAAAAAGGGATGCAGAACTATGAAGTGACCTATCTTTGATCAGCAATGAGCCAGGTTCTGACCCTGGGCCACCTACTCCTTCATCACTTGACTGCTTATATCAATGCCTTGCAGATGACCAGATAAAATCAGCAAGCCTCAGGACAGCAGGTGCCCAAAGGGCCTACTGATTTTGAATAACGCATACAGCAGTACAAAAGATAAGAAGTTACCAATAAGAACCGTCATTAGGGCCATCTCTGAAGAAAACAGTCACAGATGTGCTACGTGAACTTTGAAAAACTGCAATTAGGAAACCATTACTTCTGCAATCAAAAAGCAAAGGCCACACAGCACATTCTGTTCGGACTACCCATGCAGGGCTCCTGAGCGTTTACGAAGATCTGATCAGAGAACATTGTGTGAACGCTTTGGTTGTTGTTGTTCAGTGATCATTACAACATCAAAGTTTGGGGCAGCATTCGTAGCCACTCTATCCATTTCTCTTATTAGATGTATAAACTTAACATCCAGCCTTCCCTTGCAATAGTTACACGTCATTATAAAACCACCACCCAAAATAAAAAGGCAAGCAATCATAATATACAAGTATCAAACAGTTTTCTACAAGGAATAAAAAAAAGTCGTCAATGCAAATAGAGCTACTGTTTCATTACATTTTCTGTAAACAAGTCTGCTGACAACAACAATAGTTATTACACTATCTTGCCTCCTAAATGGCTCTGGAGTGAAGTCAGTAGGATCTACAGCGTTAGGAATGACGGACACTATTTCAGGATTCAGTGCTGCTCTTAGGACAGTGTTTTCCTAACTAGTATAAGAGACACAAATGATGTGGTTTGTGTCACAGAGAGACACAGTTAGAAGCTTGTTTGTGAGCACCGAGCTGACATCAGCAAATCCGAAAAGGGAATGGTCTGTGAAGACTGTCTGAAGCCCCATTGTCTTGGCGTGGAAGAGGGCATCATGGGCCATGGCAGAAAAAGAACTGTGGGAATGGATTATGGTAACTCTCTCCCGAACAAATATGTACCTGAGCAATGGCAGACTTTGAAAGAGAGTCGTGGCTGTGGATTGGTTGTACATGACTCTGAGAGGCAAGTAATAAACTTTGAGGCCATTGGTGAGGTAACGGATGCCCTTTCGATTTCCGTACGCATGGGTGACGATTATGACCTTGTGCCCCCTCTCAATGAGGCACTGAGAGAGCTGGTAAATGTGGCTTTCCACACCTCCCATGTTCGGGTAGAAAAAGTCAGACACCATGCATATATTGTGGGTGCAGGTCCTGTTGGTGGAAAAACTTCGAGGGCTAACCCGGGATGGCTTCACGGAGGGAGGCTGGCCATGCCCACCTCGTCTTCTATTAGCCATACTGACGTGGTTCAGGCATCAGTTCTCAAAACAAGCCAATTAAGAAATGTGTCTTTGGTCACCTGAAAGATAAAAACAGGACATCAGCTCAAGGCACATCCCATTTTCTATTCCAAATCCTGTAAGAAATAGGTGTAACGTTAAGGCAATTTTTAAAGTTTTCCCCCTAAATTTATTCATTGGTCATTTACTTGCTTAGCATGGTGACATGTTATATGGCAAAACTAGATCCTACAATGTGTTAACTGAGCTAGGAAACTGGTCCTTTTTTGGTTTTTTTGAGACAGGATTTCTCTGTGTAGCTTTGGTTCCTGTCCTGGAACTAGCTCTTGTAGACCAGGCTGGCCTCAAACTCACAGAGATCCACCTGCCTCTGCCTCCCGAGTGCTGGGATTAAAGGCGTGCGCCACCACCACCTGGCTTGGAAACTGGTACACTTTAAATGTTAGGCCATAGTACTTAATGGTTTGCCACAGTAACAAACCAATTCTTCCCAATAATTAAGCATATACCCATATGTTCCCCCTTTCCTCTTATCACTTTATCAGCGTCTACATCTTAAGTCACTATACATCCAACACTACACAGAGTTTTCTATATGCTATATGTGTCTAGTTGACACATCTAAATGAAGCATCAATTCTATAATACAAATGTAAATTCTAAAGCTTAAAGAAGTTAGAGGGAACACAATATGGCAGGTTTTTACCCATATTTTCTTAAACCAGATTTTATCTATATAGCTCACACTGGCCTTGAATTCTAATATTCCCAGCCTCTGCCTCCTGAGGGCTGGGATTACCGGCATGCACCACCACACCCCAGAATGTCCCTTACATTTGGACTATTTAAGTCACAGGACATGGTACAAGTGACACACAAATCTTTGACCTCAGCATATAAAATGTCTGATGGCTTTCACTTCTGTAGTTAGCACAGAAGTCACACAACTATTTGGCTAGAAGGACATGGGGGAAGCCAGGAATGGTGGCGCACACCTTTAATCCCAGCACTCAGGAGGCAGAGGGGCGTGGATCTCTGTGAGTTCAAGGCCAGCCTGGTCTACAGAGTGAGTTCCAGGACAACCAGAGCTACACAGAGAAATCCTGTCTCGAAAACAACCAAAAAAACTAAAACAAAAGGAGGACATGGGGGAGACAATAAAGAGAAAAAGTGCTTCCAAGCTACATGGAGAGGAAGGGACTCAGCCATCTCTATGTCCTGACCTGTGCCTAATCTCTAGGCAGACTATTAGCTAAATGCAGCCACCCAAGCAACCCCTAAAAAGACTCATAAAAGTATCACTAGTTAAGACTAGGAGCAGGTTCCAGAATTATACAGAATAGCACAAAGACTGTTGCTTTCTAGCGTTACCTTTTGTTCTGGATTATTATGAGGCAGAAAAGGATACTAAAACAGGCTAGGTTCTGAACCTAATTATACTGGCACATTGTCTATTTTTATTAAAAAAAATTTACAGAAACGTGGCTCATTCACTTATGTGAATGGCTACTTCTATGCTACAATGCAGAGAGGCTTTGAAAGAGATCATATGACCCATAGAGCCTAAAATATTTGCCATCTGGCTCCTCACAGAAAATGTCCCGATGGCTGCTGCGCAGTTCGGCTAGCGATCCAGTTTATCCATAGGGGTTCTGCTGGTTAGCTTTGTGGTTTCCACTAAAACACACCGGGAGCTAGAGGTTTCTCTTCAAGTATTACCTGGAACTCATGCTGCAGACCATCCAGCTTCTCCTTTCTTATTCAAGAATGCTGACACTCAAACTGCTCCCTTCTCTTTTCTGAGCCCCTTTTAGTTATGTAGGCCTTTCCTAAATGAGTGCCCTTCTTTCAGCACAGACTCTGGAAAGAAACACAGAACTGGGCATGGGCTATTTGTGTGGGCTCTTTCCTACCTCTTCTTTTTTTAAATTCTGGTTTTTTGAGACCGGGCTTCTCTATGTATCTCTGGCTGTCCTGGAACTTGCTCTGTAGACCAGGCTGGCTTTGAACTGAGAGATCTGCCTGTCTCTGCCTCCCAAGTGCTGGGATTAAAGGTGTGTGCCACCAACACCTGGAAGAAATGCTTCTTTAGGAGTCCCCTAAAGCTACGCTAATATGAAACGCTCATTCAAAACTCAGTTCAATAGATGCTTACACTTTTAACACTAGAGCCTTGGAGGTCTAAGATGGCAAAAATCCTTATATTAGATCTATAACGCTGTAAGAACTCAATGGAGAATTACTGTCCTAAAAGCTGAGTTTCAGGTCTCACTTGAAAACTATTTGTGTTGAGTTTCCCCAACAAACTCATCTATACTTCTAAATACTCTCGGAAACACAGAGTGGAGAGGCAAGGGAGGAGCATGGAGTTGGGAGGCAGAGGGTTAAAGGGCTCCCGAGCAGCTAAGACTGGGCTATGTGGGGGTACTCTGCCATATAAAACTGGAAAAAGAAGAAAAGAGAGAAGGTCGAACTTGCAACCAATAAATAAATAACGAAAGCAAGAAAACATCAAGTTTGCAGAAAGAAAGGAAAGTCTCGTTAACACTTTTAAGTAGCTTAACGCTTCTACTGCGGTGTGTCACCTAAATCTGAATCTTTAGTCCAATTCAGCTTTAAGAAATGAATGATAAGGAAAATAGAGTAATAAATCAAATGAAATTACCTGAAAGACTGTCACCCACTTCCAATGTTCTGTTAGAAGTCTGCCTGCCAGCAGGCTATCCTAAAATCTTTATTGCGTAAAAGCTCAACATATTGCATACTCATTGAATCTTAGCTTCTATAGGTTAAGGGAGGCTGTAAATCTGGTGAATTCTCACTCGAACGTTACAAGTTGAGCAGTCTGTCCAACGTAAATGACAAAGTCAAGAACGCCTCAAAATTCTCGATCATGGCCAGGGAACTCGCTTATTAGCAGAAGCTCCTGAGGCGCCTTAGAGCGGGATTGGACAGGGCTGAGGAATCAAGAGATCAGGACTTCAATCTAGTTCCAGGACAGCGCCCCCGCATGACTGCACTAGAGCCAAAGCGAGGGTCAGCCTGGGTCCATCAGTCACCCCTCCGAGATCAGGCAAGGTCTGAGCAGACCCAAAGGGAGTCAAAAAGCGTCCTGAGGTTCCAGTACCTTGCTCTACTAAACTCAGCCGAGGAACCGGCTCCAGCTCTCAATGAACCCTCAGCCCCATTCAACTCCGTCTCCCTCGGACCCGACTTCAGTGCCTCCGGCCGGGTGGGATTCATCTCCTCCACAGTTTGCAACGCTCTTACAAGAACGGCACAAGCTCGTCCGAAAGCGCGGCAGAACATTGTAAAGGACAGCCAAGACGCGCACTTACCCTCGAGTCCCATGGCCGCCTCTGTCCGGACCTCCTGCGGCTGTAAGCGGAATCCCGCCCCGCTGTTCCAAAGCACCAATCAGAAGCGTCCGCGACCCGAGCGCCGCGCCCCCTTGATAGCCAATCACATAGAAGTTCTGAATACACGTAGAAGAGAGACGCCCAGTCATTCCCAACTCTCCAGCGCCAGATCCTAGCGTCAGCGAGTGCTGGAGCACGTCTCCAAAGAGCTGCGGAAGGTCCCGGGCGGACGTACCCTAGTTGCCTAGTTACAGCGTCTCTTTTCAGGAAGCCCTGTCTCTCTCCGCCTCCTTCCAGTTAGAGAGACTTGCCAGAGGAAGGCTGGGGAAATCAGGGTCAGGGCAGTTTATGATCAGTACCTTAGCCTACTCAATCACGCTGGTTCTTATCACTCTGCACTCTGACACGGTTGCTAAATGCAATAAATAAAAGTACACGGATACGAAAAAGAACCCACAGCAAGTCAAAAACGAAATTATGAACTTTGAATTTCAGATCTACTTTTCTATGAATGTCCCAAAGATTGAGGACATTCCTTTTAAAAGTTCTGATTTGAGATTTTTGTCGTAGAACGCTACAGTCCAGGCGGGAAGAAATCTTAAGTATAACCTGAAATGCTCCCCTCCCAATTGTTGCAGTCCTCAGTCAAAAGTGTCTTGAGGTCTGGAGTCAGGTCATGACGAAGTGGTGCTTGGCTGAGAATGCAGACTCCATCTGATTGTTCTAGTTAGTGGTCACCCACTCTTTACAGTTGGTACTTGCAGTTCCTTGGCACTGCCACTTCTGTGCTTTCTAGACTAAATTCTTTTCTGAGCAACATTACCATCACCGTGACCGGCATCCTTTTGAAACTTGTGCTAAAGTTAAGGCTATTTTCTAAAAGTCAAAATAGCTGAGTTGAGTTAAATCTGGGGATGATTTTAATTGTAGTATTCTGCATGAACGACTTCGAAGCATGCATTCAGAGCAGCAGTTCCTAACCTGTGGGTCTCGACCCCTTTGGGGTCAAACCACCCTTTCACAGGGGTCACATATCAGATATCCTGCATGCCAGATCTTTCCATTATGATCCATCACAGTAGCAAAATTACAGTTATGAAGAAGCAATGAAACTAATTTTATGGTCAGCACAACACGAGGAACTGTACTAAAGGGTTTAAAGCATTAGGAAGGTTGAAAATCATTGCTTTAGAGAATGTTATTGAAAGCCACTAAAATTTGACTAAAATATTGTTGTCCAGTATGTTCTGATGATACTTAAAATATGAAAGCCAGAACCACTTGAACTATCAAATGTCCTAAACAGAAAAGATGTAAAATAGATGTAGGTATCATCTTCCCTTGAAATTTAGTTCTTTGCCAGTTCGTATGTAAATAAGCTCCCTTGGATAATTTTAGAGTTGGAAGGCATCACACATGCATTGAAAGCTTGCTAACTATATGCAAGTAGATGAAGGGAAAATCTGGCATGAGGACTGTTTCCAAGCCAAGATATAAACTGAAGCATTTGAGATGGGCGGTGGTGGCGCACGCCTTTCATGCTAGCACTCAGGAGGCAGAGACAGGTGGATCTCTGTGAGTTCGAGGCCAGCCTGGTCTACAGAGTGAGTTCCAGGACAGCCAGGGCTGTTACACAGAGAAACCCTGTCTCGAAAAACCAAAAAGGAAAAAAAATATAAACTAACGCATATAAAATGGACTATGAGAAAAGGAATTGCTAAATGTCATAAGAGAAGTGCAAGGAACATGCTGGGAATTTCAAGGCAAAGAATATTTCTCTCTGCTAGCATTTATGAAACAATGAGTAGAAGGTATCCATACAAGTTAAGAGCAAGAGCCCTTCAAGAAAACAATGAATGAGGATACAGAGGCAGATGCTTACTGTTAAGTGGATATTTGTGTGTAATTATACAAGAAAGAGATAGGGAAGAGATGGGGGCAGAATAATGGCATTGCCAGTAAGAATTAGTGCTTACGAAAATTTCCTGAAGAAAATATACTTGATGCTGACCCAGATTGCCAGCAAATGGGACATTTTTCAATCATTATTCTGTGACTCTTTTCCTTTTTCTGCTCCAAATAGAAAAATCGCATATAATATAAACGAAAAAGGTATATGCTTTGTTGTGTGGTTTTTTTTTTGGAACCCAACAGATACAGAATCAAAAGCTCAAACTCTTAAGACTAAAAGTTACATAAGCCCAAGACATTGTACTTGGTGGCAGTAAAATATGGACCAGTGGTTAGCTCCTGTACAATACTGGATATGGCAGGATCCATGTGTGACTATGGACAGAAACTAGTCTGTGAGAGACTTTTACATGGTGGCCTTCAATAAACCACCTGTCAATTGATACTTTATTCAACTCCCTCCTGCATCGAGTCTGAGATTTGACCTTGTGGCTTGCTTCACCAAAAATACTCTCAGCAACGGAAGTGCAGCAAATGCTTGCCAAGTGTTTACAGACTGGTCCGTGCCCTGTTGGAATCTTTCCCCTTGAAATCCAATGATCATGTACGTGAAGAAGCCCAAGCAAGGTGTTAAATGAGAACAGTCATAGGGAGAAAGGGGCTGAAGAATGAGACCCCCATTGGTCATCCCAGATTTAGAGAAGCTCTACTTGGATGGGATGACTTCAGCCTGTACTCTGCGGAGCAATATAACCTTCTAGTCAACCAACAGAATCAGCAGAAATAATAATCTTGAGAACGTCACTGCTGACTGTGGATACCAAGTTTTTCTGACATTTGTTACACAGCAATTGATAACTTGCCTGAATCTCATCTCCCTACTTGATAATGGATGTTGGTTTGCATGTTGGTACCTGTTTAGAGAAAGAATGGAGCTACTTAAAAAGTGATCTTCAGTATGCCATTGTCACTGCTAATGTGGTCTATGTCTCCTAGATATACTTTCATGGTGGTGAGAGAGAGGCATGCGCTAGCTCTCGGGGAGATTTCAAAACTTTAGAATAGATGTAATACTAAGAAAGACAAGACAAAAATGTAGCAAGGGAAATAGAATTTGGTCCAAATGCAATTAAAATAATAGACGAATGTGGAAAAAATGAAAATAAGTTTTAAAAAAAGTATGCCAAAATGAAACAAACATCAGCTGATAGTAGATAACCAATTAGAAAATTTGAAGAAGTTATTATTAATCTTTTTAAAACGTACATCTGGGGAGGAATGGAGTTGAGCAGTACCATGGTTGCCTAGCATGACCAAAGTTTTGACATTGATCCACACAGCAGGACAAGTAAATCAAAACGCTACATTTCCTCATAATGGTAAAGTTGAAGCTACACACCATTAAAAGCAAAGACGGTGAGCCAAAACAGTCCCTTCTTTTAGTTTTGTGTATTTTATCACAGCAACGAGAAACGTAAGAAATACAGAAAATTAGTACTTGGAAGTGGGGCGGTTGCTATGGTAAATCTGACCCTGTGGTTCTTAAGCCTTTGAAAAAGCCTAGAATGTGTGAGCAGAGCCTAG